CCCCCCCCCCCCCCCGTTCCGGTTTTTTTTCGCAAGCCACCGGCATCCGCGGGGGTGGCCGGCCACGTCGCGCGCGGTGTGTCTGGCCGCGGGAGTAAAGGAGTGGTGCTTTCCCCGCGCGAATTATGTTACCGCGCGACTTGTCTCGTGTCCTGTGCGCGCTTTAAATTCGACCGGGGTGACCGCAAGTGAGAAAGGTCACGCGCGCCGCTACGACGAGGGTAGAAGAAAGGGCGGCGATGCAACGCGGCGCAGGGATGAACGTGCTGGCTGCGTGCTGCCGTCGCCCCGGCGCGGGGAGACGCTAAGGTAAGAGGGTTCAACGAACGCCGATCGCGCTGCCACGCGACTTTCGCCCCCCGCCACCCCCCGTCCTGGCTGCACTCCTCGGAAGACGAAAGGGGCTGTTTACGAAGTTCCGGGAACTTGCGGACCGTCGTGAGCTGCAACCGCTATGGCAGGATCGAATCTTACATCAGTGATATTTTAGAAAATCTCGCCAACCGACTGCGCGATTTTAATAAATTAGTGCCTCAGCTCGGTTAGCCGAACACTCTCTCTCTCTCTCTCTCTTTCTCTCTCTTTCTTGCCTTTTACATGATTATTATTTATGCACGTAGCTTTTCCTAATTTAGCAATTATTTTTCACTCACTTTTTTTTCTACTTCGCCGAGAAAATTAACAATGGTGGTTAGCTCCTAAAACCGTTAACGTGAGGAGTAACATCAATTGTTACTCACAATATTTGTACTTTATTTTATTATTTTTTTAAATTGTTCATATGGGCCTAATGATGTCTATATTTCTCTCTCTCTCTCTCTCTCCCTCTCTCCCTCCTTTTTACATGATTATTATTTATGCGTGTAGGTTTTCCTAATTTACCAATTTTTGTGCAACACCAATTATTACTCACGGTACTCGCTTTATTTTATTATCCTTTTAAATTGTTTGCACGAGCCTGATGATGCCTTTTCCACTTATCGTATCTCTCTCACGCGCAGCTAGCGATAAAAGATAATTCTCTTCGTTCCGGACGCAACTGAAAATAAATTCTCTTCGTTACCGGAATCAAAATTACCATAACAGTGCTGTTACCCGATCGTAGTAACAACATTAATCGGGAATTAAGCTAACAGAGCGCACTTGAAAATTTTATTACCGCTATCATATCCCAGGAGTTATGAAATACTGCAACGGTCACAATTGAGAGAAACAGTTCAATTTCTGTCTTCGCATGTGAGTTTCGCTATCGAGAATTGCTTTTGAGACTACAAAACTTTTAAGTGGACACGTGACTTCGGACAGGTGGCCTTCGGCGTTAGATTGTATCTGCCTCGTTTTGTCGCCTATCTTCGATCCCGCAATTTCTTTCAGCCAATTATACATTCGTCGCATTTTTGCAATCTGTCACTTAGCGTCAAATTTAATGCTAAACGAGATATAACATAACATCAGTTCGCTATACTGTACTAAACGTACGATGCAAATAAGAAGTTTTTCTTCGTCTATCTTCTCTGAAAGATAGAGGACGGTCGATGAAGCATCTATCTTGGAGTAATGGTTTGATCTATTTTAGTCCGGCATTTTTATATTTCGGCGAGGCTGACTGCTCACAAATTTCCTCACGCTTGCTCGACGTTACTAGAGGATGCACGGGCTTTTAAGTGTAGTGCCGTTGTGAAGAAGTGCGGGAGTCGGTAGGGAGATGTTTCTCTTGCAATTTAAATATCCAACGCTTCTGACGCTTGAAAGCGTGAACATTGTGCCATGTGTATTTCGACGTGTGTCTCGCAGCTATATGTTGATTGTTGATATCTGATGATTATCCGTTGGAGAAATTCGACGCTAAGCCGGATGATTAATAGGATCGATGACTGCCGAGGAATCGATTACGTGATCGCCGAGAACCCGAGTCGTGTAATCTGCCGGCGAGGAAAAATAAACGCGCGGTCGTAGGTTAGTATCTAACTGGGGAATGCGCTGGCAATGATTTCGAGGTCGATTACCCACAACACTTACTTCGGCGATGCTATCGTGCAGCTCGCCCTACCCCACTGAATGCATTTATCGATTTCTTCTGAAATATGCACTTTATTTTATTTTGAAAACAAAAACATGCATACACATAGATACATATTCCCTCTCACTCTCTCCTTCTATCGCTTCTTCCTTAATCTACGAATCCTTCTAAAAATAGAATATTTGAATCCGGATTTTAATTCGGTTTTATGTCGAGAACTGCCGCTGAGAATCGTAATAACTAGAAGATTTCAAGATAAAATCGAAGATAGAAATATTACACACACGTGTAATTTTTGTCTCTTATCGCCAGGTGCATAGGTAGTTTCGTCCGGGGTTGTTTCGGCGTGGCTTCGCGGGTCGATATCCTTTCGCCGGATAAGCGCGTGAAATTGGCGTTGCATAATTCTCCTGGCTACCGAATAAACGAACGGATTGATGAATCGGGGAAAGAATTACGGGACGAGTTCGCCTGCCGTTCGACGACCCCTCAAAGTCAAATATAGCGACATAGAGTCAACGTTATCCGATGGTATATTACGTTATGTCTGGGGTCATCGCACCTGACGCTGCATAAACCATTCATATCGCGCACCGCAAGCTTTCTGAATATCGCCTCATCTACAACTTGTGTTCGATCCTTTGAATTAAAATATATATATCGAGTGAGGCAACAATTATCATCACTTTGAATATTTTCAAAAAATGCGAAAGTAAGAGAAAAATATATTCAACGGAAAAATTGCATTGATATCAGTGGTCGTCACTTCGAACATCTTCTGTAAACTCTTTTCCTCTTCATCTAGTCATTAATCAAATTTTTTTATTTATCGAAAATACTCAAAGTAATAATAATTATTGCCTCACTCTGCATACATTTGCATTTATTATTTCGTTTCTTACTTTTGGTGAAAGTAAGAGAGAAAGTTAAAAGATTTACGTACTTAAGGACTAATATCATTTCACTGACAAGGGATTACCTGGAAACTCAATTCTCGCGTCTATATGACTGCACATTGTCGCATTTCCCAAACGTACCTCTTCTTTTAATACGCGGTCGACTCTCCCTGCGGTGTCGGCCATTTTTATTACAACGGCTCCCATATCTCCTAAAAAAAAGGAATACGTGCCATTCGTTCCGGCGATATCGCGCCCTGTCTTTCCTTCTCTTCGTAAAAGGGATAGAAGAGGAACAAGAGCATAAAAACTCCATTCGTTCCATTTATCGATATAATCTTTTCGCCCTCTGCATCTCTCGAACACAAGTTATCACGATATAGAGTGAATCTCACCCCGAAATTAACGATCCGCCCTCGTTTCTTTCATTTATAATCTCTTTCGATTACGTCCTCTTGTACTAAAATTGTCGGCGAAAGTAGAAAGGATCGCATGTATTCAACGCTCCCAATTGAAATTTAATAAAAATTTGATCTCGACGTTCTCAAATGTAAAAGTAGCAAAGATGAATAATCTTACATTTTTGCAATTTCTAGAAATACTAGTAAGAGATCACCAAGTCACAATTTAAAATAAAGATGTCTCGGCTAATTATACGCCGAAACTAAGAACGGATAAGAAAATTGATAATTTAACTGTCTGCAAGCTGCAGGTGTATTTTATATACTTCTATTTTTGTTATCCCGAAATAAATCCTCGATTAAAAAAATTATCGGCCGGAGAATATATCTGTGGAAACCGAGAGAAATGTTCAACAAGGGAAACTTTTAGCGAGCCGAAAAATTCGTAGACGAAAAGAAGGTTAATGATAGTTGGGCAGTTGAACTCAATGGAGCAGATCGTACGCCAGAAGATGATTATCGTTGTCGTTCGTAAACGGTCCGTGCGTTTTTCGTCTGTTTTGTCAGTTCCTGTTTTAGTTTTCGCTGCGTTACCTACCTACGGTCGCAATTGCAGGAAAGGGAAGTATCGTTGCGGTTTTTCCGTCGTTCATTGCGAATTCTATTATCCGTCGCGGCGGTCGTTAGACTTTTATCGAGTTTCGTTATCACAGGAGGACTTTCGTGCGACGCAACGATGATGCATTCTTCACGATTGCACCGTGCGTTCCCGTCTCATTTGTTGCGTTCTCGACGTTCCCTCACGGCGCAAGAATTTTACGATTTTTCGCAGAAAACGAGTCTCGCGCGAGATTCAATTAGAAGCCAAGAAGTTGGATAAGAAATTCATTCAAGGACAACGACTATCATTCTCGTATCATTAATCATCTTTAGAGATCGCGAGCGACAACGATCTACCGTATGACGCTTATATCGCAGCATTATCTCCGCTCTGTTATAATAGCGACAAAACCGTCGCTACTTTCCGAAGCGAAGGCGACGCATCGCGTATACGCGTCTTCCATTTGCAACACGTGCACGCGAACCTTCGATTTGCGACGCGGACACAATGAAAACTCCCGCTGCTCGCACCGGAGGTCCGTCGTACTGCAAACTGACAGCGCGGGTGTCGCTATTTTTGCCGGTAAGTCATATATCTTGACTCGAGCGCTCCCTTTCTCGCCTCCGTCAAATAACTTTCTCAATCAATCTCGAGAGTAAGCCGCTAATTAAACGGCGCTTAAAGGGCCGGTGAAAAAAATCACAGGCAAATTTCACGAGAAATAAGATCGGTGATACGGCCCTTCCACGGAAGAAACACCCCGTTCAATTTACGACCGGCGAAATTCCCGCGACACCCGGGTTGTCGATTTATTTTTATCGCGGTTGGGCTGCACCCGCAGGGCTTCTTTTTTCACCCCGGACGCGAAAGGTCCATCGGATGCCGGAGCGTGTGAGGAGGGCGCGCTGAAAGACGGAGACACGTGAAAATCTGGCATAGAGCTGCCTGTTTCTTCCTACGCTCCATCGTCTTAACTAACTTACTCTGTGCGAGACCCGCTCGTTAAGTTCCACCCCGAGCCTTACAATAATTCCTCGCGCTTCATCGCGCGCGCCTCCCTCCGCGTGTGTGCGCCGCTGTTTGTTATTATTAATGATCAGCATCCTCCCTCACGCCGTCCGGCGAACTTTGATCTTAGTTCACAAGCGCGGACCCCCTCTTTGAATAAAAGGTCAAAGCACTGAGAGTCCGTGAGTCACGAGCAATCGAGACTCGAATACCTCAAACTCGGTGCTTTTGGATGGCGGAACTTCGGAATTTCGGTGCTCCGAAACTTCGAATGTCGGACACGTCTGGTCCTCGGAACTTCTGATATTTAAGAGTTCTGTAAAACCGAACGGAGGAAAACTCGCCGTATCTCCGGCCGCTATCCGGGCTATATTCGCGCAAAC